TAATAACCTATGCTATATCTTTAGAATCAGAACAAAGACTATTTCTAAATGATACACTGCGGGTGTGTATATATGTGCTTCTTCAGGTAAAATTGCCCAAGAAAGACTGAATGCCTTGCATTGCACTGAAGGAGAGTTTCTACACTAAACAGTGATTGTGAACAACGAGCAGCTTACATATCCGTCAAGTTACTGCTGCACTAATCTAAAACCCAAACAATTCCCCAGTTCTCTAAGTTTTTAGTGATTGTTACTGCAAAAGCAAATGGTGAAGAAGTTCCACTTCACTGTCAATTTTAGAACACGGTTAGAATGCATTTTTTGTCCTTTGTAATGCATTTGATCTTTTATATCTCTACCCACAGAAGGATGAATAATTAACTACATTTTAGATACACACATGACTGACTGCTATGATACTTTGTTTCTGTAACTTGGTTGAACTTTAAAAAATTTAAATTCCTTTTAAGTTTTCCGTTCTAGAAAACCTGTTTCAAAAGCTGTGTTTATTTTCCTTTACAATGATGAGGCACTAAGAACAGGCAAGAAACTGTCATTTTTTATGCAAGTATTTTTCAGCAGTACCACAATAATTTCAAAGCAGACAAAGTCATGTATATGTTTAGTTACCAGGACCTCAACAAGATATTCTTCACATTCAATACATTGACCATCAAGCTTAAATAGTCAAAATATATTTCTCACATCAGTGGGAATTCTATGTTGTGAGAAGATGCCACAGGAAATATAAATGAGGCTAAAATCACAAGTCACCTAGGATTTCAGAGTCAACAATATGAAAAAACTAGATGATTTATCTCAAATACTGCACATCCTGTATCGATGCCAATATCAGAACATGAAGTAGCAAATATAATCTACAAGCTGCTTTGTCAAGTGTAAGATTTCAGTTTAAAGTTGAAATTCCAGTCAGCAGGCTCTACCCTATAAAATCATTTTATCAATAATCAACACCATATTAGGATAACTACCCAATAACTTGCTAAAAGAACAGAATTCTGGGGCAGCTACAGAGTTCAAAGCAATGCTAGGAGGGGAAGAAAAAAACACCAAAAAACAGTAACAAAACACCTACCTAAACAAAAAAACAATAGACCCTTGAACAAACTCTGCTAATCCTTTTGAAAATATTCAAAGTAGGATTACCAAGCAGTTACAAGAACTATGAGCCTCATATCATAAAAATATGAAGGAAATCAAATTTAGATATATACATTGGTGAGGTTGGGGTAGGTTTTGATTTTTGGTGGGCTTTCTTCCCACAATGTAAATTACACCCTCGTCTCTTCCTGCAACATTCTTGTTTTAAAAAAAAAAAAAAATAAAAAATCAACATTTGGAAGCAATTTATACTGAAACAAGCCCGAAGCCTATTTTATAAATATTCATTCTAAATTCCTATTGCAGAAAAGCTGACATGTGTAAACACAATCTAATTAAAACAGTCATAGGTTATGAGTTTCCAAGGGCTTCTTTATGTATTTAGTACACATGTTCTTTGAAAATAGTATCTGATTTGTGTCAATCACATCTACAGGAAGGACTCTGAAACTTAAACAGTCAAAAAACAGATGGTTGTGATAACTGGCACCAGCGGAACGTCTTTCTGGGGTGTGATTTATTTTGGTTTCGGGTGTGCTTTTTTTTTTTCCAGGATCTCATTCAAGGTTTATTACCTCTGTTCAAGATTCACTATTCATCCACCAATATTTCAGAGCTTCCTACATAAAAAAAATCTCAAAGCAAGCAATGTCTAAAGCAAAAGCTCTTCCCAATGAGCTGCTTAAGTACAACATTCCTCACTGACATCCCTGAAGAGTATCTAGTAAAGAAGTATCTCGAATGTGTTATTTATAGTGAAGAAAATGAATTTACATTCAGTACTAGTATCAAAGTAGCAATAATGTGTGCTTCATAAAGAAACTCTTAAATACAACTGCCAGTTTTAATGATTAAATATGTGCTCACAACAACAGTCTATGTATAAAAATAGCAAAGTGGCTTTCGATAATTATATAACAACCTAAAGGAACAGAAATTCAGTATTTATTATCTTTACAATGTAGGCCATTTTGAGCATTTCGAAAGCAGTCCATCCACATATTTAAGGGGGGGGAAAAAAAGGCAAGAATCCAAAATCAAACCACACCTTCAACACTCATGTGCAATTTGTTTTTAAGATGAAAGTCATTGGGATATGGTACTGAAAGAAAGGTATGTTTCTTCTTATTACAAAAATAAGAACGAGATCCAAGCTTACTATTAAGGGACTTCAATGTTGTGGCTGAAGATCTTTTACTTTAAAAAAAACTACAAAAGTTAAGTACAAGAGCTGTTACTAAAATGAGCATTAGACAATTTCAATTTACACATCCCTGCTTTCCAGGCATCGCTTAGGACAAGCACCATCTATTTGACTGTTCAAAAACCAATATAAAAAACTGCAATATTTAAAGACTTAATGAAAGCTAATTACTGAACTGCTATACTCAGCAGAAAATTTAAAGTTAGTTCAGCAGAACATTTGGAATGGAAAAATAAACTATGGAAACTGGTTCATGCTCTGTCACAGTGTAACAGAACTTCCATTCATTCAGTCAGAGTTGTGGTCAATATTTCCATTAAAAAACTTGTTTATCAAGAATTTATTATGGGAGTTATTAAGCAGCTAACACCTCAAGTTGACTTGGCAGACAAAATTTTCTGTAAATTCAAAGATCTTTTCTATTACTTAAAAAAAAAAAAGGGAAAAATCAAAAAAGGAAAAACCTGTTGCATCCCTTTAAAAATATATTTTCCACTCTTAATTCCCCAAATCAGATATATCTCCCCACCAGGTAAGTCTTCTTAATGCTCAGTCCATTTTCCCCTTTCTGTGTTTCAACCTTTCTGTGTTTTCAACTGCCTCAGCAAGCATCCTTGAAATACAAGGAGACATCACTGCTCCACTTCACCTACCATAGTCTGCTGCTGCTGATATTCAACGGACAAACAAAAATAAATCTCCAACAATTTGAAATTACATCTGTAGCCTTCATCAGCCACTGCCTTCAGAAAGGCAAAACACTGCATTTTTGAGGACACTGTGGCAACACAGACTAAAATCATGATGAACTTTGAAATGGCTTAGAGTGATAGCTCAAACAATGCTCAACTTCAGTCTGAACAGGTAATATCCTTCTCATTGCTAGACTTCCTCTGAGGAAGTAACAGAATAGAGGATGCTGCCTTTCTGCTAAAAGTAAAATGCATTTCTTTAAAAAATAAAAATAACAACAACAACAAATCCTATCATCCTCTACTGCTGGGACTGTTCTTAACACAGCAGGTAGACATAACTACCTTAGGCGCAGCTACGGTTTTCCAGGGCGCAATAATGAAGGCTGTCTTCCCATCTTTTGCACAGATAATTACTACTTATTCCTCCAATTGCCTCACCATCAAGGTAATACATATCAAATAATATTTTCTTCAAACCTGTGAATGCCATTTTTTAAATAATAGTTCTAACCTATGACACTCGCTAGTCCTGCTTTCCAAAATTGCTACTGTGCATGTGACTTCTAACCCACTCAGGATTCACATTTGCTGCTTACAGGTACCCTATTCACAGCAGAGATGTATATAATTCTTAACAAAAAAAACCCAAAACCAAAACCACACCCAAACGAAGCACACAAACTGGACACTTCGTAATTTTTAAAAGGAAAATCAAAAACATATCAATGAATTCACAGCTCTGAGTTGAAAATCATATGATTTTTAAACTATTGGCACAGAATAGAAAGGATTCTGCCTTTAATCCAAAAAGGTGTGGCAGTCATATTCCTCAACACAAGCATCTTGGCAAGCTAACCAGAAAAGTCTTTCAAAGCATAGCAGTCAACTGAAAAAGTAATCTGACATCTCAAACGACAAACTTGAGTTTCATAGGCCAGAGTAGTTTGGAACAACTCAGTAACAAGAAAACTACTGATCCTTGTCATTGCACTAAACCAAGCTGAAGACTCGGCTTTTGATTACGTACCAAGGCACAGAAGTTGACTCACTGGATTCAGTTCAAGACTGTAAAATGGGCTGCTTCACAAAAAAGCACCCATTCAACTTGATCCAAAGAAATTTTGCTCTACCAGTCCATAGGCAATGGTCTCAAAAGAATACATAAGGTATGTGAAGAAAGAAGGAATCCACTAACATAGCAACACTTACAACAGACACTAAAGAAACACTTTAAAGTCTTGGATTACTATGTTGGCAAAACAGTAAAAAGCAAAGCAGCAAATGAGCCTCAATAAAACTAAGGAATGACTACATTCTAAAGCGCAAACTCTCTAATCCTTATTTACTCTGACCAGTAGCTAAAAAGAAGTCACCTGTAGTCCTCTAACAAATTACAGATATTTGTATTTATGGGGCATCCTCCCTTTTTTGTGTGTTAAATTCTAATTTTTTTCAAATAGGTCAACTCGGAGTCTTAGCACGGTGACTTTTTTCAAGCCCTAAAGCTACATCTAAAAAAATTACCCTTCAGAGTTCCCAGCTTTCAGGTCTGGGGACATCGTGATACGCTCCAGCAAGATTTCTGATCTGGACAATCAAGGGACCAAAGCTGCAGGGCACAACATACTGTACCATGCTGTACAATTGCTCTGTAATTAGAAGCAGACCAACCAAATACAAATAGAATCAAATTGACTTATTTTAAATTCTCCTACGAACTGCCACTACAGAAGTATCTATTGTAAATTGCATTCATCAAAAGGCTCCAGATTAAATGTTTTTTTTTAAAAAAACTGAAAGACAAAATTTATAGCAGTAAAAGAATTGGAGGGAACATACCAATGATCATAGTTTCAGATGAAGCTCAAACACCTCTATGTCACTTCACTTTAGGTTACGACAGACCCAAATTCTATCTTCAAGCGCTCTTGGTGAACAAGCAGCTTTAGATATAAGACCAAAGGCAAATTATTACTAACCTTTCTACATTGACTGGCTTGTCAAATTTAAATAGAATATAATCCCCAGCAACTGGTGTGACAGCCCAGAAAAAATCTTCCCCTACGTAGGTTTTTTCTAACGTATGCCCCTGGTAGACTTTTAAAGATGTCGAAACCTCTGCAGGTGGATTCACGTGGATTTTATGCAGTAATGGTTTCAGGAAGTCTTTATCCTAATTGAAAGAAAGACAAACATCATGCTGGTCAGGTAACCTGTTTTATTATGTTCTTTTCCCATGTGATTACACTTAAAACAAACATTTTCATACAATGGAAAATTAATCCATTACTCATTTTTTGGTATATCAGTTCTTGTACCAATTAATAAGATGAATATGTAATTAAAATACAAAAACTAATAATAAAAAAATAACCCCTAGCAAACCCCACAAAAATTAGCTGAGATTAGCACTTCTTATACTTGATAATAATCAGTTTAAATCAGATTTCATTCCAACTGGAGCAATATACAACATGCTTGAAAATGCCAGACAAAAAAAAAATGCCTGTTTTCTCAAAGGCTACAAAGGGTTTCATTTAGTCAGCTTGCTTCGGAAAGGAAGGAAAATTTGAGCTACTAACTGTGAGTTTCTGGATCTTCCCTGCTAGAGAGGAGTGGAGGCCAACATGCTGGAAAAGAGAAGGCCTGAAGCGTATCCGTAGGTTAGATTTCTGTCGATCACAATGTTTCTGAAATGGGAGGAGGGAGAAGGGAGTTTAAAATAAAAAATAAAGAAAGTCACATTAGTAAAACCAACACAAGGTTATTGAGTTTTTACTGCAAGTATGTGAGGCTACCTGAACCAAAAGAAGACTGAACAAGAACCCAGACTTATTTATCCAGTTGTTCTTGTTTTCATTCCAGAAATCTACTAAGACTGCTGTGCAAATATAATGCTGTTCAAGGTTCTTGCCCAGAATCTGTTTATTCAGTCTTTCAGCAACGGCGCTATTTGAGAAATGAAGGATCAAAATCCAAAGTTTACCCCCCTTTCGGAACCTTTTGTATGACTGCTATCCAAGCAGTGGTACTCTGCAGAGCCTCAGTGGGGGTCACCTTAATGAGCTTATTTTAGAACGGTTACACACAGAAACTAACTAGACTTTTGCTTTTCATCATACTGCATGCATCTCCAAAACCGTTTTAATGCTCTGAAAACTGCCTCTCTAAAGGCAGTTGTTTTTGAGATTAAAATCTTGGCAGGAAGAAAGACTAGTAACTGCAATACACAATATTCTAGCCTCCACCTCACTAAAACCAACCCATACACCATTGTGAAAACACCTTAGAAGCTTTATAATAAAAACAAACTTACAGCATCTTTCTCAGGGTTACACACTTTCACCCAAAGGATATGGTCCAGGAGCCAATCAATAGGTTTCTCCTTATAAAACATAAATATGAACTCTACAATAAGAGTGATATCTGGAGACTGGAACATTTTACCTGTGGTAACATTAAGAATAAGTTAGGTTATTTTAGATTAAAGATAACATTGTCTTTTGAAATCAGTGAGACAACAGATAACTTTGTGCCAAGACAAGCAATGTTAACAATGAAAAACTTCAAATCTCAGTGCTGTTAAAAGCTCCCTACATTTCAGCTATGCAAAACTAAATAAAACAACTATTCAAACAAGAACTTGTTGTAATGTATATCTTAGTGCTACCAAAATATGCAATGTATACTACAACAAAGTCTCCTTAATAATAGAAACTGTCAAGTCTGCAAAAATAGAGAAGGAAGAGATATAGATTATTACCTATTATTCATGCCAAGTGTAAGGTTCAAGCATCTGACACAAGGAGCTGTTGCAAGTGTTACCTGCTCAGTCAAATAATTTCAATTTTTGCAGGTATGAAAAGCATAGATGGAACATGTACTGTCAACTCTAGATCCTTCCCGTTCGGTCCCCATGTGCTGTCTGATCTAGTCGAGACGTGGCGTCCCTGGCGACAGGGAGGCTGGATTAAAATGATCTCTAAGGTCCCTTTCAGCCTAGGCCATTCTATGATTCTATGATTCTTTTGTGTAGAAAATCGAAGGGAAAGGAGGAAGCTACTAGAACATAACCAGAGACAACATATCTTAAAAAAATGTATAAATTCATCACATAGCAGTGACCAAAGTTTTTCTGAAATACATAGGCCATCAACAAATTCATAGTGAGGGCATTTCCAACTAGCCACTCAAAGGAGTCAGCTGCCTAACAGAAAATCTAAGTCCCTCCCACAAACAAAAATGGCAGAACTTCTTCACCAAGTCCTTCCATGACTTTGAGACTTCCAAGACTGCTTGGCCAAGCACAGCTGGACTTCTGGGTGGCACCGTGGGGCAGGATTCTTGCAGATCCCACAAACTGTAATGCTTAAAGGAGGCCTTGGCAAAAGAAGGAAACTTACTGTTGTGAAGAAAGTCTATTTACTATCAACATGAGCAACCTTTTACAAGGTTATTGAATATATTTCACTGCCAGTACAGGTATCTGAAGAGAAAGGTGGCCAACACGCTGGGCTGTTTTGGCAAACTGAACGCAGCACTTAAGAAAGGTGCCTTGCATGAAGACACTGCTACCAGGAATAACACGTAACTGGGAACGGGGCAGTCCAGGGCTGAAGACAGACCAGCAGCAAGTTCTTGTAGCAGGGACTGAGTGCCAACTAAACTCCCAAAGGCAGTTCCAGATTGGAGGGCAGATTCAGAAAACATCATCAGGTTCACAGATGAAGTCTGCCTCTACTTCCCTAGGCTCCAATGGAGGAGGCAAGGAAGACATTATACGACTATGAACCTCTTAGGACAGTGGCTGAAGGGATTCAGTTCTGCAGATAGTGTTGAGATGTGAGCAGTGCTGACTTGGGCATGGGCTCCTGGGGTACATGTATAAATGGAACAGAGGCCAGTACAAGTTCTTCTCCTATGTAAATCTTCTGCCTGTCCACACTTTGGAGTTCCATACACACTAAGGCACAGCACTTCGGTATGTGGAACATTTTTTTTCCCCACATGTAGTCTACAAGACCTTTACAGGCTTTTAAATAACAAGTTCCACAAGTGGCAGAGGTTCTAATATTTTCTCTTTCTACATTTATAAAAAAAAAAAACTGAAGTAGATATTAAGAACAGGTTCCTCCCCGAGGTGGCAAAAACACTTCCCATACTCATTAGAAAATGGGAATTGGTCCTCAGCTACAAGAGGAAAAAATTCTTTGGAACGGCCCCTAAGGAGTTGTATAGGCTAATCTGCACGACAAATAAGAAATAACGTTTTGTATGAATCTTAGAAACTATCAGCAGTGTAGCACTCCACTTGAGAAGGTGGCTGAGTGAAAATGAAGATGGTATAAGCAGTCTACCTTACTTAGCCATTTAGGAGAATATTCGTATTTATATCAACAAAAGAAAGGATATACCTGAAGTATTACTCTGAACTAGTACTATATAAAAGGTAAAAAGTTATCTAAGTCTTAAGTGATTAGGAACATATATTTCCACCATGAATGTATATTTGGACTGTCACTCAGAGCCAGACATTTAGTTACCTTTCTTTCTTTTGAGGCTCACCAAAGTCTGTAATACATAGAAAATTATTGAAGGGCAACATGAAACAAAATAAACAAAAACAAACAAATAAACAAACAACTTCCCCCCAAACCAATAACAAAGCCAGGAGTTCAAAGCCCTGTTATAACAGGGATGGAAAATATCTTTACTGAAACATGTGACTGAGTCTAGGACATTATCCACCTCAGAGTGGATATAGAATGCCAAGTTGTTAGCTTACATATATCAGCAACGATTCTTTTTCATAGAATTGTTTAGATGGGAAAAGACCTTTAAGATGGTTGAGTCCAATCATTAACCTAGCACTGCCAAGTCCACCACTAGACATTCTTTTAAATACCTCCAGGGATGGTGACTCAATCACTTCCCTGGGCAGCCTCTTCCAATGCTTAACAATCTTTCCAGTGAAGAATTTGTTCCTCGTATGCAATCTAAACCTGCCCTGGCACAATGTGAGGCCATTTCCTCCTGCCCTATCACGTTTTACTTGGGAGAAAAGACCAACATCTACCTCACTACAACCTCCTTTCAGGTAGTTGTACAGAGTCATAAGGTCTCCCTTCAGCCTCCTTTCCTCCAGGCTGAACAACCCCAGTTCCCTCAGCCGCTCCTCACAAGACTTGTTTTCCAGACCCTTCACCAGCTTCATTGCCCTTCTTTCAACAAACTCCAGCTCCTCAATGTCTGTCTTGGAGTGAGGGGCCCAAAACTGAACACAGTACTCAAGTTGTGGCCTCATCAGTGCTGAGTACAAGGGGACAATCACTTCCCTGGTCTTGCTGGCCACACTATTCCTGATACAGGCCAGGATGCTGTTGGTTTTCTTGGCCACTTGGGCACTCTGCTGGCTCATGCTCAGCCAGCTGTTCCACTAGCACCCTCAGATCCTTTTCTGCCAGGTAGCTTTCCAGTCACTCTTCCCCAAGCCTGCAGCATTGCCTGCGGTTGTTGTGACCCAAGTGCTTGGCCTTGTTGAACCTCACACAGCTGGCCTCAGTCCATCGATCCAGCCTGTGCAGATTCCTCTATAGAGCCTTTCTTCCCTCAAGGAGATCACCACTCCCATCTCACTTCATGTCATCTGTCAACTTACTGACTGAGGGTGCACTCAGTCCCATCATGCAGATCACTAATAAAGGGAAAGCACTAAAGTTGCAGGGGCACTGTTATGTGTGCTCTGACACTACCAGGTATCACTCTTAGATACAGAGATTTTGTTTTGACAACACCATGATCTCACATTGCAAGATCCTTTATTTTCTCAAAAAGAGGACACATAGGAGATCACCTCAACGGCCTCATCCTTTCCAGAAAACAGGTCTGATGCAAACTCATTCCTTTATGAAATCGGCAAAGAATACAGACAACGTATTAATACTTATTTAGGAATCCTGAGATGAATTTGGAGGAGTCTGAGTGAGGCTACATCAGGATTCAGGGCAATAAACAGAGAAGAAGCATGTGGGTAAAGTCGCAATTATTTCAACTGTTGCAATGATGCTATATTCATAAAGCATATCATTCACACAGTGGGGTGAAGAATTGTGGTAAGACATTGACTGACCTGACATCACTAACACAGAGTTGTCCCTTACAAAAGCCTTTAATTTGCTTGTTTATAAAGCAAAAATATCAGCACCAATTTTAAGTGCTTGTTGCGATGAGGTCCTCAGAAAGGCATCTCCATTTGAAAATACTCTGTAACCTAAATTTGAAGCTCCAACTAAACAAGGGACAACTCCTAAACAAGCAGCAACTGTAAACCTTTCTCCTTTAAAAAAAAGAAAAAAGTTACGATTTTTTTATTAGTATGCCATTACTATTTACATGCTATCTTGGTGTCATACTCTCTGGAGTCCTTTTATTCTTCTACCCAAGGACAGAGCAACAGAATCACACTATACATTTTTTCCTCTGACTAGCTCATCTTCTGAAGAGCACAAGGATTGCAGTCTTCAGGTGTCATCTGTGGTGACAAAGACACTCACAGACCACTTTGCTTAAAACCTGAAAGTTCAGGGACAGGATCCTTACCTACAAGTAAATAAGTAGAAAACAAGAGTGAAGCTAAGAGTAGGAATTTACTCTTTTCCCTGTTTTATCTTAATTTTACCTAAAACAGAAACAGATTATCAACAAACAAATTAATTGCTTCCATTTGGCAAACTTATCTAGGCCCAGAAGCACTTTCCTCTAGGCCTAGACTGACGTATTACTGCCAACCACACAGTCAACCACACTTGACTTGGGGAACAATCTAGCTAAGATGGTGATGTCACAGGACTTACCAGGGTGGGGAAAAAAAAAAGCGCAAAACCACCAAGCAACAAACCAACCAACCAACTAACCAACCTCCTGATATATCCAACTACAGCTAGTAAGAATATGCAAGGAAAGCATCAGCTGGCTGTACCTGCACTAGCATTTTCAGACCCAGCTGGCCTTTCTACATTACACTGCCCAGCAGCATGGAAGGGTTCAATAGTGCAGGCAAAGCTTTCTCACTTGAATTCATCATGATCACTGAAGCAAAGAAGACTAGGCAACACCCTGCTGAAGGAAGACAACCCTTCAGTGACCGGGAACAGACATCCACACACTGCTTGCTGAAATGCTGTCAACACCTTCCACAGCCAGCTTGGCACGGCTTTGCCCCAGCTCCTTGCCCTTCAGTGTAACACAGCAGCCCTCATCCGTCATTTCTGCCTCAGGACACCATCAGCACAGCACAGCAGTTCTGCCATGGATCAACGTCCTCGTTTTCTCCCCCCAAACATTCTTCTTACACCAGCTCAAAAGCAGGCCTCTGCAGTGAAGCTCCTGGCAAAACAGGCCTTCAAAGCTCTGGACCCCTGAGTGTCCCACAGCTACTCCCTGTGATGGAAAGCATCCCAGTACAACTCCTACCCCACAGATCCAACACACCAGTCCCTCTGCATCCAAATTGGCCAAGCCTTTGCCTAGCCTCTCCGGAGTGAGGGTAGCTGCAGAAATCTGGCTTCCCTAGGACATAGCCATAGCTCAAGAATAAGAACCAGCGTTTTCCAATGTCCTGCAGTCCTGTTGCCTCCCATACAGTGAGGAAAGTGCTTTTAGCCAGGGAGCCTCTAAGATGTCACCCAAATCCAGCCTACAGATTGCCCACTGGCCTTACCCAACACACAGGCAAAAACCATTAAGCCAAAGAGACCTACACAAAACTGCGGTCAGCACACACTGCCTCAAACCAAAGACAACATGAAAGACTTGAAGCAACGGCTCATCTTGCACCACGCTCATGCACTTAGTACACCACACGAGAACAGTCATAAGTCAAGGAGACTGCTGACAAAATTTCAGAAGTTTCAGATTCTGGGTACATACAACCCACCCTTGGAACGAAGCTTCAAAATCCAAAAGAATTAAGACTCAAAGGTAAAAACTTGCTCCATTAATCTCTAGAGATTTACAAAATGTGGAAGACTTTCTCCATATTATTCCTCTATAATGATAAAAATGGGAGGACTACAAAAAAAAAATAAATTGTGGAATGTTTTCTGCTATTTATTGTACCCTGCCAAGCCTTCTATCTGATTTTCAGTCCATTTAAGTGCTATACTCAGTGAACTATCCTGGCCCTTTCAGTATTTTGTTGGCGAGTACAAGATTCATACAAATGAAAAATTTTGTTTTCTTCAGTTCTCTGAACTGCAAGTATCTAAATCATTCATCCTCATTCTTCCACATCAGCATCATTAAATGCATTCAGTCTACATCAATAATAACTTTATACCTGTGAGCACATATTTTAACCATAGTGAAAGTCTTTCAATATTTCCCCTGTTAATGATATGGAAATTACCGGCATTAAAACCAGAACCTCTTTGAAGTTACTCAAATATCAAACATTTGAGTTGATCTACTCTTCCTCAAACTATGTGGACAGCATGAGCAAAACTGAAATCAGAACAACTTAAAATAATCAGAACAATAGGCCTTAAAATGTCAGGGCACAGTAAGATTCAGAGGAACTGTATCAGGCAACGAAAAGGCTGATTTCAGGCCGCTCCATTAAAAGTTTGTGACAGATGACTTTATAGCTTCAGCACAGAGTATGGCAGATTCCCTGGAAAACACTTCAGCTCACAGGCAGCTGGAAGACAAATCAGTATTTCTCATAAAAATCTACCAGGACTTTTCCCATGCTGTGTCAGTGTCAAGGGTTAGGCCTGGGCTGGCCCCTGAACACTGACAGAGACTGCAGGGCAAACCCGAATGCAGAACAGGAAAAGATGCATCTTCTGCCACAGGGCTTCTTAGAGAAACAGCACACATCTCACACATTATTTATTAGATACCTGACAGCACTTATGACTATGCTTTCAGTATTAAAAAAAAAGCACAAAGGAAGCAACTTTTGCTCTGTGATAGAGGTGACAGAATTCTATAATCCTGCTGTCAGACTAAATAGCTGCATTTGCTACTTCCTCAAGGTAGTACTTGCATAAATTATTTTCATCTCAGAAATACACTATGACAAAAAACATTTTTACCTAGAAAACTTGCAATCTGATCAAGGTTTCCAATAGCTTACAGCAAATCAGCCACACCTGGTTTTTAGAGTTTATTTCCAAATCAGTAGCATCTAGGCAATTCAGTGCTCTGCTTTCCGAGACGTCTACACATAAAACTCATCTCCAGTTACAATTACTTTTGCTCTTCTGCATAGCTATCTGCATCACCAAATTATCATAGTATCACCGTGCATCAAGATCCATAAAGGGATAGCAGACAAGAGCCAAACCTACATTGCTTGCATAAAATTTCTATGCAATATATGGTTATAACACGTCAATGTGTCCCAAAACTCGAAGTTTCACTTTCATGAATACTAATTCTTCTCTCAAAACTTAAAAGCAGAATAAGTAGCTAAATTGGGAGAGGAAAATCTAATGTAGTTTTCTAGGTAGAAAAGCAACATTAAGATGTGTAGCCATAGCTAAATGCATCTGAAATTCTACTGATATCACCTAATTAAAAGGAGGCAAGCAAATATGATAGAAGGAACAAAGAATAGGGATGCAAGCAGCAGGAGCTAAAAACTAAGTTTAACTACAACTGTTTTCAGAATCTACATTGAAAAAAGTATATAGACAGCATACGAAAACAACTTTAAAATATTTTTAAACAGTTGTGCAGGTGATTAAGCCAAATCTCACTATTAAGAACTATCTACCTACCCCTTCTGGTTTAGACACTGTCTTCTATAGCAGCACTGAGAACAGAAAGGGGTGTGAAATACACAAACAATAAGCAATCTGAAATACAACTGCATGGCATAGACCGTGCATGCCCTGAACTCTAAGTTGGGTTTACATCCATTTCGACGTGTCAGTCTTACGAGACGGCAATTTGTAAGCAAGTACACTGTACTACTAAATGAAGCAAATGTAGAATGAATGTGAACTACTTCTATAGCCCAGGAACTTCATACAGGATTTACATCTGACGTGTAGTTAGGACTGCAGCTAAGACTCAAACTGTGTATTCAGTCAGGGCTAGAGTCTAATTTTTCAAAAGTGGAAACAAAGCCTAATCAGATATTGGCATTCAACTATTCTCTGCAGTCACAGAATGACAGAGTTGCAAGGGACTCCCCAACAGAAGAAATAAGTCTATTTAGAGCAAAAGCTCCAGTAAATTATTTAAACGCTTATTTCTCCATGGTTGGCAGCTCCATTTCCTGTTTCTTCCTTCCACCCCTGTAGCCACAAAACCAGTCCCATAACTATTTCAGCAACAGTGCATCTCCATTGGTAGCCCAAGGCAGCCAAGCAAATTGCTTAAGTGGTGGCCAGACAGATAGGGAGACTTCCCTTTGCTCATTTCCTCTCCTCCTCTCCACTGTTCCTGTAGGTTAGACTAACAGGTAAATGTATGAAGTACCATTTTGTACCCTGTACATTTTGCATGTTTCGGAGATAACTACTGTTTCCCTTTCTACTCAGTGAATCTTTGACACCTTGCAAGTCAAGGAACTCTTTATTGCCTCAGCAGCACACCTGATGCTGAGCTGGAAGCAGGATAGCACTTGCCATTCACACAGTGCCGACAGTGTCAGTTCTCAGTGTGGCCATTATGGGTCACTGAGTTAAAAATGAAACTAATCTCTGGAAAGTAGATCCAAAATACAAACAACTGAACAAAAAGAGTTTCCAAGAGAATGACGGGACTCAGGACTGCACTTTATTTTTTGCATGTAGGATTTCCTTCCTGTTCTGAGCTCAACTTACAGCCTTCGCATTGGAATTGTTTGTGCTGACTACATGCAGTAATTTCCACAGCCTGATTTAGCTTTTGATTTTTCCTCACGTATCTCCAGCTTAGCACTTTTAAACAGATCATGACACATCACTGCAGTAATGAAATAACCTTTTGATTTGTAAAATTCCTTCCAAACTTCTCTTTCATTGCTTTTCTGTTAAGTCTAGGACCTCCCAATGAAAAACTATCAGTGTAAGAGCAAAGAAACATAAAATAATTTCAACAGCATGCCAGCAGCCAAACCACAGCAGTCTGAGAGAGTGCATTATATTCTCTCACTGCTGGTCACTGCAAATGACAGACAGACTCTACCTACACCTAAGAAGCAGCAGGCTGTCATAAGTTCTCCTTGACGATGTAGAGAGGTAGAGATGGAAGAGGCTTTGCAACCAAGATAAACTGATGTCTGCCGATTCCAGGAAATTTTCACACAAACAACAATGAACTTGGTTTAGGTGGAGTTAGTTTTCATGCATTTTTTTTATATTTATTTCTATCTGTTGTGTTTTAATGGCATTTTTGTTTTAATGGCAGCTAAATTCAAAAGGAGTCATTCTTTGCACTTCAACTGTTAGTACGTTTATAAATGAATTAGGTTTTGGTTATAAAAATGCCCTCTCTTCCAACAGTTTGAGTTTGCCTCAGACATACAAAAGTATGTGAAACAACTGAAAAAAACAACGCCCCATGAGCTATACCAGAGCTCCTAAAGAAGCCAGTGATTTTCTAACTCTTGCTCTATTTCTAGTACAAAGAAGATAGCTTTGAAGTCAGATCACTATTAACTCACAGAGTCTGAGGATTAATGTGTTCTTTCAAACTAACAAAGTGAATGTTTTCTTACCAATGAAACCCAGCTGAGAAAATTCTAGAATCATCCAATCTTCAGAAGCGAGCTGAAGTGCAAAGTTTTTTATCGTGCTAAAATAATTCTGCTTGACAACGATGTCATCTTCAAGCTAGAGGAAGACAGCAGTGATATCAACATAAATAAAAGAAGCACCAGCAAAGCATTAGGAAAAAACACAGCTATGAAATACATTGCTACCATGTAGTCATTTATTTCTAACACAAGCACTGCTATAAAATCTAGATGCTACAGCCAAGAATAACTATTGTAGGGATCACAGTCTGTCTATTTGTGGCAAACTAATCCAGAATCTTTCTGTAGTAAGAATCCACAAACGTATCTCAGCTTATTACTTCAGAACACTGCTTTTCTAGCTTCCCTCTTAAGAGATAAAGCATCCATAAAATAATGTTAGACTAAGCGACATCACCAGTAGAACTGGTGAGAAGAATTATTTGTATGTCAATGTGACTCTGCGTGCTCACACACCTAGCAGCACTAGAAGTTCTCCTCTGAGACAAGAACCTAAGAGCCACGGTGTCTGTAGAGATGGGGTTCACTTCACTTGCTTTAGCTGTCCAACAGAAGAACACGTGCAGAGTCCAAACTCAGCATCTAGTCCAGGCAGCAGAACTGCCAAGACAGGCTGCTATCATCCCTTTAATTCACAGGAAGTGCAGGCCATTTCTCTTAAGGATCCTACTCCTCCTGTCCTTTCTCCCAGTGCCTTCGTGCTCTCCCTCTTGTACTGGCATTAATATTTGTGTGACTGCCCAGTTTCAAAAAGACTGTTTAATGTCCTTGGCTGTGCAGCTTCCAGGAGAGTCTCCAATAGCTCTCAGAGAGCAGTCAGCACAGCTTCGTGAAAACTAGATTATACCCGAAGGTCACAGTCCCAAAATTTAAAAATAAAGCTCATAAGCACAGTTACTCACTACATCTGCAATACCTGTAGGTAAGGCTTCTACTTCAAAGCAGCAAGACATGATAGGAACAATTCTGAGCTAAATTAAATTTAAGAAGAATTTCTTAACTGTGTTCTTGAAAATCTCTTTAAAAAAGAAAACAAGTCTAATAACACCTTGAAAACATACCCATAAAACCCAGTCATATTAAAGTGATGCTGCACTTGGCTTCAAAGGAAAGTAAAACTGCATTCAAGCTTGATTTCCACTCAGAACGATGCTAGTGGTTTTTGCCTAGGCAACTCAACAGTACCTCAGATGGCGGGACAAGGTGGAAAAAAAATAGACAGTAGGTAAGCTATCTGCATTCCTTAACTTGTTTTACTAAGCATCTTAAGATAAAATAAATCACACAGGACAAATTACTTTCTATTTCAGAGACAGTATCCTCCACAGATTGCTTCCTCATCGTGTACAATAACCTTAATGCTCTCCTTCAACTACAGAATCAAGCTATCTCTGTTCTGTGTAGGTCCTTCTGATGTGTCCAACAACATAACTTCTGGAAACTCATTTGAAAACTTGTCTCAAAACAAAGACGAGAAATTTACCTGAATGTAATAAACCCCCTTTTTCTGGGCGTACATCATAAGAAAACAATAATCCAAGTTTTGTTTTGTTCTCCATCTGAAAATAAATTAAAAGGCTTAAGGATTATGAGAAAAAGTTATTTCAATACACACTGGCAGTGCAAAGTAAATCTCATAATGAAGAATGACGCATATTAGTGAAATGTTAGGACAGCTGCTTTTGGCATTGTTCCCTCAGGAAATCCTCTGTGAAGAAAAAAGGAACAAACATTCACCTTATGCTTTAATACAAACATAAAACTGGTTTAACTTGAATCTGATTTTGTGAAAACTACCTCACCTTTCATTAAAAACACATGTGCATTTTAAATGGTAGGAATGACTGGGCTTTACACTGTATTTTAGGAAGAAAAGCAGTAAACAAAAAAAAGTCTATGTACAAGAAAAAACCTCTATCAAGTCTTGGTTCTCCTCCTATAATTTAACCCAAGCCTAGCATTAGGCTCTCATCATGCATAGAACGGCATGCAGATAGGAATGAGATGGAATTCACAGAGCACTTTTAGCATCCCCACACCGTCAAGAATTACAGTAAGAAAACATTTCAAGAATTCACATCCCACTTGCCATTTCATAAACAACAAAAGCGTGTGTGTAGGAGGAGACGGGAGAAGATCTGGGGGAAATAAACTAACCTCACTCTCTCTTTTGAGTCTCCAAATGTCTCTTTCAAATTTGTCAAATCAGGATAGTAGGTTGCAGGAGGGGCTATTACTTCCACCAAGCCAGAATTGATCTCTGTAGAAAACCTGTCAATAGAAACACCCTAAAATCACGAGAGATTCTGAATTCTGTAGACTTCCTGCTTGCTTTCTGGTGGTGCAGTTATTATGTCTGATTATAAGACTCACTCAAAAATGGCACATAAAATAAAAATAGTATATATAAAAAAGTATTGTCTTCCTTAGCATCTTCTTCAGAGTAGTATAGCCTCTTGCCCAATAAACAGAATTCTAATTAGATTTTAAACATTTATTTCACCTTTCTTTTTTCAGAATCTGGTTATATTTTTATAGTTCCCTTTGAATATATGGAATACAAGGCCCTAACACAGATGTCATAGATTTCCATCCATGTTAAACCAATCCCATCTGCTTTTGTTGCGGCAAATAATTTAATCCCATTCATTGTTTAACAATTTAACTGACTGAATCACTGCCCCTTAATTTGTCATCTACTACTTTTTTGTCTGGAAGTCCAAACTCCCAAGAAATGAAAACGCATGATCTCATATTTCCAGAATACTTTTTATTACTTATCACAACCCAATTTAGGAAAAAAAAAAAAGCAAATCCACCAGTAAGCTAAAACATCCCCCTTTAAACTACAACTTACTCTTTTTCCAGGCTTGCAACAACACTGTTAACATAATCAAGATCAGTCTGGAAAAAAAACAAACACACAAAACCCAAATAAAACATTTAACAATTTTGGAGCTACATTTTTAAAAGAAATCAGTAAAATAAACATTGGACGTAGCTGTAGTTGAAAAATCAATTTCAGCATGTAAGATATTTGAGTAATATAGGAACACATCACACATGTAACTGTTTTATATCTAATGGGAGAAGAAACAATTCTTATTTTTATAAACAGAGAAGAATAACATTTGCCTCATATCTACACTTAACAGACAGTTCTAATCCAATTGTTGGTATTTGCTTGAAACCTCTCGTGTTCTTAATGACAAAATGATCACTGAGCATTTGTGTAGGAAGAATTTTGTATTACCATGACATAACAATAATATATATGAAAACATGAGCAAGAAAAGCTTTCTGGAAAACAGGATATGGAGCATACACTCTTCTTTCAAAAATAACTCTCCTAAACTGCATTTAAAGCGTAGGTGCTCCAACCAGAGACAGCAATGAACATGCTGCTTTCCTGAATAGGGTTGCTCTTTTGTATCAGAGATTAAACTTGAGGGACTATTAATCCTATCAATCTCCTAATTCATAAAGATGTACAGACTCTAAAAACTATGTGTTGGTTAAAAATAGGAATCATGACATTCTGGAAAAGTCTAGATCATCTAACTTGCCAGAACCGGCTGATTATCCAACCCATTCACTTGCTCATACACATGAATTCCTGGAAAAGAGTGAACTCATAAATGCAACTGAAACCCCTAACTGTTGTTATACTTACTAATCTAATAATTTGACATGCCATTTATCAGTTTTCAAAAGAAAATTTATAGTTTATAAATCAACCCAGAATTTCATGGCTTATGAGGATTCTGGAGATATAGCTGCCTTTGAAATGCTGGAAACAAAGGAACAGTTCATACGTTTTCTGATGAATTTGTAACGCAGGTTATCGTTAAACGATTATACACCCAGAGAATAAATCCCTCCCAAGCATTTCTATAGAACCACTAATCTTGTTTGATAAAGGTGCTTACTCTTTGATCTCAAAAATTACCATTCCTATTTTTAAAGATTTATTTTTATAAAGTCCAACATAATGCCAGTGACGCACATCTTTCCAAAAAGGACAACAGTGGGTTTCTTCCAAAATCAGGATCTAAATACTACAAGAACATGTGAGTAGAAAGCATCTGTCATAAAGTTTTCATACATATTTTCATAAAATCAAGAATGATTTTGCTTGGAAGGGACTTTTGAAGGTCATCTAGTCCAGCCCCCCTGCAACGAGCCGGGACATCTTTAACTAGATCAGGTTCCCGAGAGCCCCATCCAACCTGGCCCCGAATGTTTCCAGGAATGGGGCTTCTATCACCTCTCTGGGCAATCTCTTTCATCCTAAGTGCTATGCCGAGTGCTGGACAGAAGTTCTAATCAATAGGTAAGGTGTTCACAGTTTAAAACTCATCCTGCAGTGAGCTTACACGCAAAGAGTCACAAGTCCCTGTGGATCTTGAAATACACATACGGATTGTGTGTGCTCAGTTTATTATTGTAATGAAGTTTAAGACATAACCTTTTCTGTTGTGTATTACAGTTGCAAATCACTAACCTAGTGACTAGCTAAAAACATTTTTTGTTTTTTAAAAAACTTTTTAAACATTAAACATACAGAAATTGTTGTTTAGTCAGAATATGAGAGACAATCTGAATTTCTAGTTAGCATGTCAACCTTCAATTACCCAGTCTAGAATTAATAACTCAAATACTCATTAAACAGTCCATAATGTAATTACATAGGAAAAGAGCAAGTTTATCTATATATAAATTTATATACATACACATACAGAGAAGAAACACAGCTAGTTTCTACACAGTATTCCAGAGATTAAAATGAATGCCTAGCTAGAAGCACACATTTGGTCACAAGCTTGTGCCTTAGTGCAAGTCTCCTTAGGATGGACACAGTTTTGACATATTTTGTAGATTTTGCCATGAAACCTTGCTGGTGCTTTTAAAACCACACACAGAACACACCACAGAGAAAAATAGTCTGGAATAAGGGTTTTTCTTTCCTAGTTTCCCTTATTTGTTTGTGTCCTTCATGCAAAAGGTTGGCAGTAACAATAGCTTCACGTTAAAGAGACATACCCTGGAGTCTTCCACCCTCATATTGTAATCTGTGCTGCCATCATACAAAGCCAAGGTGGCCTGAGGTAACACAAGATACGGCAAACACCACTGCTGGTTTAGTAGATAACCTTCCTTCTGAATCAACAATCACCACAACAGCGTCCTGCAAAGAAGACATGCCCCTTCTACAGTGAAAAGAATATTGAGAGTAGAAGAGTTGATGCCAGTTTTCTCCTGATCAGTGCATTAAAAACTTGATAATCTGCTATTATTTTTAAATAAGCAATTTTATTCAAGTCTACTGGCAGCATTTGAGATTCAGAACTACGATT